AGCAAGTCACATGAAATTTTGGGGGTTTCCCAGTGCATATAAAAGTTATGTTTACACTACACTGTAGTCTATTAAGTGTGCAATAGCATTATGTCTAAAATAATGTACATACCTTAATTTAAAAATTGCCCAAAAATGCTAACTATTATCTGACAGCGGAGGGTTGCTACAAATCTTCAATTTATAAAAAATGCACTACCTGCAAAACACAATAAAGCAAAGCACAATAAAACAAGGTATGCTTATATTTTTAGAATTTGAAGTGACTGAAATTATATGGTATGTAGTCTTTGTTTGGCTTCTTTCACAACATAATTATTTTCAGATCCACCCATGTTGTTGCATGCATCATTAGTTCATTTCTTTTCATTGCTGCATAGTTTCTCACTTTATGGACCACATTTTTCATCCATTCACCTGAATGGGATTTTGGTCTGTTCTGTTTTTAACACTTTGACTGTTACAGGTAAAACTGCTATGAACATTTGAGAATAAGTCTTTGAATGGATACATGCTTTCATTTCTCCTGAGTAAATATCTAGGAACGAAACGTCTGAGTCATGTGGAAGGTACGTTTAATAATTTTAAAAGCTGTCAAACCGTTTTCCAATGTGGTTGTACCACTTTAACTTGACAATCCCACTACAGTCTATAAGAAATCCAGTTGCCCACCTTCTTCCCAACATTTGTGCAGTAGCATCTCATTGTGATTGTTGTTCCCTAATAATTAATATTGAGCATGTTTTCATGTAATTATTTGATATATGTATACCTCCTCTGGTGAGGAATCTGTTCAATTTTTCTCATTTTTATTGGGTTGTTTGTTTTGATATTACTGGGTTTTTGAGAGTTTTTATATATTCTGGATACAAGTCCTTTTTTCAGATATGAGATTTTCTAGTATTTCCCCTCTGTCTGGATTACCTTTTCATTCTCCTAATAATAGTGTCCTTCAAACCAAAAGTTTTTAATTTTAATAAAGTCTAAATTATCATTTTAAAAAAATTTTATGGATCATAATTTTGGTATTGCATCTAGAAAATCTTTTCCTGACCCAAGGTCACAAGATTTCTTCCTATCGTTTTTTTTCTAGAAGTTCTATAGTTTTCAATTTTTCACTTAAATCGATGATCCATTTGTTAAACTTTTGTATTTGGTGCAATGTGTATGGACCGTTGTCAAAAATAAATTGACCATATGTGTAAGGGTCTATTTCTGGATTCTATTCTACTCAGTTGATCTATTTGTCTATTATAATGGCAGTGCCATGCTGTCTTCATTATTATATCTTTATAATAAATGTTAAACCCAGGAAGCAAAAAGTCTCCCAACATTGTTTTTCTTCAAAATTCCTTCAAAGAATTTTTAACATTTTCATTTAAATTTTAGAATATGTATATCAATTTCTACCAAAAAAAGACTTCTGGGATTTTTATTAAGATTGCAATGAAGGTATATCAGTTTGGGAAAATTGTCATCATAACTATACTGAGTTTCCAATCCATTTATTTAGTTCATCTTTAGTTTATCTCAGCAATGTTTTGTAGTTTTCAGTGTACAGATCTTTAATATCTCTTGTCAGACTTACTCTAAGTATTTAATATTTCTGATACTATTGTAAGTGGTTTTGGTTTTTTTATCTCAATTTCTGATTCATTGCTAATACATAAAAGTACAACTGATTTTCGTACATTGATCCTCTATCCTGCATCTTTGTTAAATTCAATTGTTAGTACTGTAGGTTTTTTACATTTTCCATTCCATTTTCTACATAGATTACAACATCTTCTACAACAAAAGAAAGTTTTACCTCTTCTTTTCCAATACGGATGGCTTTTCAAATTTCTTGCCTTGTTGCACTGACTAGATCCTCCAAATATATAACGTTGAATGGAAGTGGTGAGAGCAAATATTCTTGCTTTGTTCCTGATTAAAGGGGAAAGTATTCAATCTTTCACCATTAAGTAGTATAGAACTGCAGGGTTTTGGTAGAGGCCCTTTATCAAGTTAAGGATGTTCCAATTGATTTCAAGTTTACTTAAGAGTTTTTATCAGGAATGGATGTTGGCTTACTTCAAATATTTTTTGCATGTATTGAGATGATCATGTTCTTTTCTTTTTTCATTTGTTAAAAAGGTAACTTACATTGACTTTTAAATATTAATGTAAGCATGCACTCCTGGAATAAACTCCACTTTGGTCATAATGTATTATACTTTTATACACTGTTGGATTCAATTTGCTAAATTTTAAAGAATTTTTAATTCTATATTCATGAAGTAGATTGCTTCGTAGCTTTCTTTTCTTACAATGGGTTTTTCTGGGTTTGTTATGAGGGTAATGTTGACCTCATAGAATGTGTTGGAACATTTTCCTTCTTCTTCAAATTTCTGGAAGACCTTGTGTAGAATCATTATTAATTCTTCCTCCCTAGTGAAGTCATCTGGGCCTTGAAGTGATCTTTGTAAAAAACTTTCTTCTACAAATTCAATTTCTTTTACAGATATAGGCTTATTCATGTTATTTATTTCTTCTTGAATTAACTTTGGTAGGTTGTGTCTTTTAAGGGATTTACTCATTTCATTTACGTTGTCAAATTTATAGTGATAAAGGTGGTCATAATACTCCCTTATTATCCCTTCAACATTTGTAGTAATATCTGTAGTGATACTATTCTCTTATTCTCACCTTTGGTGATTTTGCTTGCCTTGTGCTCAATAAGAAATTCACTTCCACCCTTACTTACCTTCATGTCTATATATATAATTTTTCTTTTAAGGTTCTTCCCTTTATCACTGGTTTTAAGCAACTTGATTACCATGTGCGTTGGTATATTCTTCATGTTTCTTGTGTTTGGGGTTCATTGAGCTTCTTGGTATTATGGCTTTAGAATTTGTATATATCATGTATTATATATTTAGAACTTATATACATTTGGAGACCCAGAAAGTGAGGAAGTATAGAAAATTATTTGAAGAAACAGTGGGAACAGTTTTCTTTCTAGTTTGATAGAAATTCTAAATATAGAATTTTTTGTATACATATGTATACACACACACACACATATATATCTCCTTGAATTTTTCCCAGCGCTTACTGAGGCATTGTTTCTTTTTTTAGCCTTTTCTTCTATGTTTCATTTTACACAGTTTGCATTACTATATCTTTGAGTACACTAATATTTTCTTTCACAATTTCTAACCTGCTATTGCTCCCATCCATTTATTTCAGACACAGTAATTTTTGTTTTATTTCAAGTTTTGTATTTTCCACATCTTTACTAATATGCTCAACCTTTCCTCTAGTTTCTTGAACATTTGGAATTCAGTTATGCTGTTTTAATGTCTTTGTCTGCCACTAATTATGGGTAGAATTTTTTTGCATGCCTGGTAAATTTTAATTGGATGCCAAACATTGTGAATTTTACCTTGTTTGTGCTGAATAGTTTTTGTATTCCTATAAACATATTAAAGCTTTGTTCTGATACATAGATAAATTACTTGGAAACAGTCTCATACTTTTGGGTCTTGCTCCACTACATAAATTATTATCATGCTAGTAAAAAGAGTTGAATAAGAGTGTCTATCAAGCTGGAAGCCTTGGCAAGTCTTATGTGCTCTAGAGGGGGAAGATAAGCCATACAAAGTTTCAAGGCCTTGCCACCTGAGTAAAATGTTAGGAATCCAGTGGTCAGGAGCATTCTGGGATATCTCCTCCAAAGGATTAAATATTACACCTGGTATCTTACTCCATAAAAAAGGAAACCGAACACCTAGTGGGCTTCTTTGGGTTCTAGAGACAACATGTTCATTATTTGGGACTACTACTCTTATCTATATACCAAGTGTCGCAAAAGGCTGTCATCTTTGAATAGGGACCAGAGCGTGAAAGGACTGTGCAGGAAGCTGAGGATGCAGTGTAAAAAGCTCTGCCCCTTGGGATATTTAAGCCAGGAGGATATATGGTTTTAGAGGCACTGGTGAAAAAGATGCTGTGGAGGTTTATGACAAGCCCCCAAGTGAAAAATCACAATGAAGACCCCTAAGTTTCTGGAGTAGGGCCATGCCAACTGAAGAAAAGAATTGCATAACTTTTTGAAGGAAAAAACTCTGGCATACTTCTAGGCTCTGGTAGAGAGAAAAAATGCTTGATGATGGTGTAACATTGTCTGTACAATCAGAATGTCCATCATGAGCTAGGTTCTGTCAGACCCACAAAGTATTAAGATAAGACAGGCTAAGCAAAAATACATTGTGATATTGAAATGATACATTCAGGACTGAGAACAATCTAAACCAGAGCGCATAAACAAGCTACCCATCTGTCAACCCAGATCTCCTAGGATCTACCAGAGCTCAAGTTCCTGACCAATAGCCATATGGGGGTTTCCATTAAGACCAGTTGCATCTTATAATGAAAAAAGTTTAAAAGAGATAAAATTAGACAACTGTCAATGGCAATCAAGTTATAGAAAGTTTTTTTAAAAGATGTATAAGTGTGATTTTGATTATTTGCAAAGAGAATTCTCTGAAAATAACTGAATCAATGCTCACAATAAGTTAATTTAAGCTTTTTGACAAAGATTTCCGTGGAAAGGGAAAGGTTCTAACATTCCAGATTCATGATGAAGCACCAATTATGTGCCAGAACCTATGCTAGGCATCTGGTATCTCCTATCTCACTGAATCCACAAAACTAATCCTCAGAGACAACTATCATTACCACTCATTTGAAGACAAGTTGATTTTCAAAAAATAAGCAACCCATCTATTGGGTGGGTCAAAAAGAGCCTTCAGTATTTAAATAAAAATAAAAGACACATTTTTCATTTTCACCAAGAATTTTATTGAACAATGTATTCACCCTTTTGTTCCACTACCTTCTGCCATTTTTCAGGCAATTTCATAATTCCATATTTCCAAAACTTTTTATCTTTTTGAGGAAAGAATTGTTCCAGGCACCTTTTACAGTCTTCCAGGGAATTGAAATCTTTTCCATTAAGAGAATTTTGTAAAGACTGAAGTAAATGGTAATCTGAAGGTGCAATGTCTGGCGAATATGGTGGAACTTCCCTGCCAAACTGTAACGGTTTTTGCCTGGTCATCAAAGAAACATGCGGTCTTGTGTTATCCTGATGGAATATTCTACAATTTCTGTTGACTAATTCCAGACGCTCTTCAACGAATGCTGCTTTCAGTTGGTCTAATCGGAAGCAGTACTTGTTGGAATTAATCATTTGGTTTTCCAGAAGGAGTTCATAATAGAGGACTCCCTTCCAATCCCACCATATACACAACATCACTTTCTTTGCATGAAGACCGGACTTTGGTGTGGTTGGTGGTGGTCCATTTCACTTGCCCCATGATCTCTTCTATTCCACATTGTTGTACAGTGTCCACTTTTCATAGCCTGTCACAATTTGTTTTAAAAACGGAACTTTTTTTTCGTTTCAGTAGAGAATCACATGTAGAAACACGGCTGAGATTTCTTTCGCTTAACTTATGTGGAACCCAAACATCAAAACAATGAACATAACCAAGCTGGTGCAAATGATTTTCAACACTTGATTTGGATATTTTGAGTATGTCAGCTATCTCCCATGTAGTATAATGTTCATGGTTCTCAATTATTGTTTCGATTTGATCGCTATCAACTTCAAACTGGTCTACCTGACCATGGGGTACCTGTCCAGCAAGAAATCTCCAGCATGAAACTCTGCAAACCACTTGTAACATGTTTGATCAGTCACAGCACCTTCTCCATACACTGCACAAATCTTTTTGTACATTTCAGTTGCAGTTTTACCTCTCTTGAAATAATAAAGCATAATAAGCCAAAATGTTGCTTTTTTCCTTCCATCTTCAAAAATGGCTACACAAAATTCACCAATTTTGATGTCTTTTTTTTAAAATGCACACTGCTATGACAGCTGTCACATACAATCTAACAAAACTGTTTCAAATGAAGTTTAAGACAACTAAGTGCTACTAGAGCCATCTTACGGAAAAAACGAATGAACCTTTTGGCCAACCCAATAAATATACACAGAACATTGTTAAATTAGGAGGAAAACTCTGCCTTCAAAATAAAATTTTCCTGTACACCATTCAAGTTAGCAATGCAAGAATAGTTAACATATAGTATCATATGTAGAGAATGCTCTACAACAGCAAGTAGAGAATTTGTTGCCAGGATTCAGAGACCAGGATTTCCTAAGGAATTTCCCCTGAGTCTCCAACTCACTAGTAACCATTGACTCAGGCACTGAACCTGATACCTACAGAAAAGAACCCTTCAGTCATCAAACAATAGGGCCAGCCATCCTTAGACTCCTGATCACACACAGCCAAGATTGTGACTGCACTGTGGTCCTTTAGAATTCTGCTGGGTGAAAGCATGTCTAAATGCACGTGTCTTCTGGTATCTCATTACAGTATAGCTCTCTGCCAATCTTCCGTGGTCTAGTCTCAGTTTGCAGGCCCTACCTCTGCCTCGGGAGAAACTGGATGAGAATCAGCAAGTTCACTGGGAGGAAGAAAGTTTATAGTAGCAGAAGATAAACAAAACAGATCAGGAAAAGGGGAGGGGAAAGGTTTTCTGCATGTATATTATACATATAGTATTCTCTTTACTAGTTGAATTCTGTTCACTTAATAAGTTATACATATAATAATATAAATAAATTACACACACATACATACACACATACACATGCAAGTACAAGGTTTAATTGGGAATGAGATATTTCATTGCATTCTAAGGCTTTCCCATTGTTATCCCAGCCTGCATTCTTCTCCTCCAATCATCCTAATAACTACTATAGATTAATCTTCAATAGATTATTAATTAAGATAATCATGACTTCTTTATTTGTGTATTTCCCATAGAACGTAGAGCTCTGTCATGTGTGATTTGTTTAATGCATGTTTTTAGAACAAAATTAAAGGTTTTAGAAAATGAAGTCATCATATCTACATTATTGTGGAATTTGAAAGTTGAGAACTTCCTTACAGACTTTTTAGTACAAATTTTCATACTTTATGATGGTGGAGAATTGGTACTTAATTGATTTGCACAAGATCACAGAACCAGGTATCAGCAAAACTAATTCTGTTAACAAATATTAAGCAAGTACCTACTATGTAATAAGGCCTGGGATTATAATGAAGGTCTTCCATTACCTAATTTAGTACTCTTTCCAAAATACCTAGGAACTAGTTTTCAATTACTCTTAATATAATATAAGCTCCAAAGGAGGGATTTTGTTCTGTTCACTTCTGTATCACCAGCAAATTGAGCAGTGCCTGGCATCTGAATATTTAATGAGTATTTGAAGAATAAGTTGATGAACCATCAATTTTCAGACTACGTAAATATTTTTGATGATCTACAAGTTACTGAAGAATCTTATCAGTTCACATTTGGGAATGTCAGTGATTACAATTCAAAGATTGTAGAATTCTGATCAAGTGTGTTTCCCTTTCTCATAAAAAATGTCATACGTACGGGAAGGAGAGTTTCAGCTATGTATGCTTTGTGATTGCATTCAATATAAGCAAGAGTTTATTCTTTCTTTTTCAAAAACGTTCATGTTTGGGTTGAATTTTTTGTTTCCTTCCCTTGTTTGGGCACAGCGTAAACACAGCTAGAATCTATAATTGGCCATGCTATCGCTGACCCCTCATTTACCCAATGGAACATCAGCTTTATGAAAGTAGGTTTGCTTTTCATGTTCACAGTAGTGTGTTGAGTTTTCTAAAATGAGGCTCTTGCAAGCCATTATCAATGAGAAATAGTAAAAGGCTACTGGGGACCAGGTTTGTACTGCTTCTTTTTAAGACTTTTTACAAAGGTATACTTGGGAATGCTGTTTTTCAAAATCCTGTCCTGACAAGTTAAGTACTAGCAGTTCTTTGTTGAAAGATCTTTCATCTTTTTTTTTTTTTCTTTCTTTTTCTATTTAGGAAAGTTTCCTTCCTCTGAGATAGCCTCCTTTGGTCTGTAATATGCCTATTATATGGCAGGCAGAAATTCACATATTCACTCTCTACCACCCTCCTTTATTCTGAACACAGGAAAATTGTTAGCTATACATACTGCTTGAGTCTGAAGACACGCCACATTCTTCATGTTTCAGTAATACTGATTCACCATTCACAAACATTTCCTGAGTACCAAACATATGCAAAGAGACTACATAGGAGGCTGCAGAGAGGAATCAACCCTTAAAATCATGGTATAGGTACAGTAGAAATGATTTTTACTGCCTGCCTTCTACATTCCAAACACTGAGTGAACCTCTGACATTATATAATTTAATATTTTTAAAAAAACATACAGTAGGCACTAAGATTGCTATTCTTAAAAAGAGGTGAGACTTGATAAGATTAAATAGCTTTCCAGGGACTTCCCTGGCAGTCCAGTGGTTATGACTCCATGCTTCCACTGCAGGGGGCATGGGTTCAATCCCTGGTCAGGGAACAAAGATCCTGCAAGCCGGGCAACACGGCCAAAGAAAAAAAAAAAAAAAATGCTTTCCAAAGGTCACACATAGATAGAAGACAGTATACTCTGATTTCAAACTGGTCTTCTTGCCCATAATCCTCATGCTCTTCCTATTCTAAAAAACTTTAAACTCTTTAAAACTTTACAAATCAAATTTGGGAAATAAATCAAATGTACAAATAAAATATAAAATTAAATTATTAAAACAATTAATTTAAATTTATAAATTATACATTTATGAATTATTATGATGAAAACTGTTTAATTGATCCTGATAATTAAAACCCCATGGCTTTGGGGGCTGATAAAGCTACTTATAAAGGTTAGACTAGGCAAGATTTTGGACACACCAATGAGAAAGAGAACACTGCCTGGGAATTACACCCAAGCAAGCTTCAGGCCCCAGTCTTCGGTAAAGTGAAGAAGTATATTCTACCAGAGGTTTTCAAACTGGGCACCTCAGAGCACTACTTTCTACAGAGGGCTCTCAGGGGCCCAGAAGGAAACCAACTGCTATAATACTCTGAGCCCTCCCATTCCTGTCCATCCACCCCCAGAACACACCTCCAAACGGAACAGTTGCACTTTGATCAGTCTAATGTATTGGATTTCCACTCAAGATTATCTTTAAAGAAAATATTCAACTTCTAACGAATAGCCACTTGAGTCTAAGTTTTAGCATCTAAGGCCTCTTCAGATTCTGTGATTCTAAGGCCAAGATAAGTAGTAAAATACGTCTAGAGCACCAATGACAAATTCATATTTCATCAGGGGCCAGGTAGGACCAATAAACTTGGAGGAAAAAAAAAAAAAAAAAAAAAAACCTGGTTAGAGATTATACAGGTAATGCTATTCTGCAGAAACCTGAAATTGTATGCCCTACTTTAAAATTTTTGAACTTTTAAGGTTGTTGTTTTTTTTGTCTTTAACACTGTGCTGGCAAACAAGTCTATATTTCTACCATGTGACTCCCAGTCTAGAAATCGCTAGAATGAGAAACTCTGTCCGAGAAGAACTCTGAATTATAGAAACTGTGAAGGGGAGGGTTATGTTCATATAGACCACCTAGGTTTGAATGAGCACCATTATTATTTCATTCAGGAAGAACCTAATGATGACTTAAAATGCAACTGTGGTGTGTGAACCTTGTACCCAGATGTCCACATTGCAGAAAGCTGAGAAAACGGATCAAAAACAAACAAAAGCAAAACTATGACCATTCATTTGCCCTTAATTTCCTCATATATAAAATAGACTCTAAGTATGCCGAGCTGTTCCACTACGACTGTCCGGCTTATGGGATCTCTCTCCTCAGTTGAGATCCTGGGTGGGTTATTTTCAAATAATAGGTCACAGACTTTCCACACTGTCTTTTGCTAAGGATGAAGAGTGTGCATGTGACAGTGACACTGACACACACACACACACACACACACACAGGCATGAGGTGGATATGGTAAGACTTAATCCCTGCTGTTCATTGTTCACTGCATCAAAAGGGAGCCTGCCAGCCACTTCTCTGTGAATGCACTATTCTCAGAGCAGGGTCAAGAAGA